AACTATTCTGCGAGAGCCGATTCTGGGGGGTTTGCGAGAGAGCATTTTTTGACCATGTGGGTTGTTGTTTATCGGCTGTTACGGGTATAAAAACGGATCATGTTTTGACCACTTGGGTTATTATTTTTCGGTTGTTCCGGATGTAAAAACGGGTTCGCGGGTATATATTTTTCGCTTTATACGGATGTAAAGCGGGTTTGCGGATTGTTATTTTCGGTTGTTACGGATGTAAAAAACGGAGCATGTTTTGACAACTGGGTTGTTACTTGGGTTGTTCTGGATGTGAAAGCGGGTACGCAGCTTGCTATATTTTGGAAGTAAACAATGCGACCATGATGGGTTGTGCAATGGTTTGCATGCAGGTAAAAGCGAGTTTGCAGGCAATGGTGCATCAGCTCATTTTCCTCGATCCCCTCGCGGGAGGTCAAGCCCCCGGTCATGCACCATTACAGCCGCGGCTATATACAAGGTTGCTGACCGAGCCATGGGCAAGCCGCAAGCTTGGAAACACATTGCATGCAGGGCACGCCTCTGCATTTTGTCGAGAGTGCAGCGGCAAACCGCTCATCTGGAACCAGCTTGCATGCAGGGCGAGCCTCTGCATGTCAAGTTTCGCGCAACCTCACGCTTTCTGCTCCTTCAAGTAGGACACAACGCGGTTCCAAGCCTCCTCGGCAGTTGTCGCTTTCCAGCTGAAAGCCTTGTCTTTCTTTTCTCCCAGCGGCCTCACTCGGTAGGCTTGGGAATTCACCGCCGTGTAGATCCTAAAGTTGCCCACACTGATGGCATCTCTTGCCTCCGTGCCTGGAAAGTCCAATACTTTTCCAACAGCTTTGGCTTTGGCTTCTGCTTTGGCTTTTGCCTTGGCTTTTGCCTTGGCTTTTGCTTTGGCTTTCGCCTGAGGCTTTTCCGCCCTGGCTGCGGCCTTCTCGTCCTTTCCTTGCTGCAGCTGCTCAGCGATTTTCAAAGTTATGTCATCCACGGCTTCTTCCGCTTCGGGCGGCTCCAGAGCAAGCGGCTCGGCGGCTTCCTCCTTGCTTTCCTCCTCCTCCGCCTGCTGCACAGCTTGCTTGCTGCGCTTCTGGTCGGGGCTTGCAGTCTCGCTGCCGCCCTGGCTGTCTTCACCACCGTTCCGGGCGCCTTGCAGCATCTTGAGTGCTGCTCCGCTGCAGCCTGCAGAGAAGCCTCCATTGCATCTGCCTTCAAACAACTGCAGAAACAGCTGGGACATCGCCTCCTGCAGGTGCGTGTCCCGGCCTGTGAGTCGCAAAGGGGTCTTGGCCCGATCCACGCTGCTGTGCGTCTTCCGGGCTGGCAGGGCGGAGTCCACAAGGACCAGGTCTGAGTCTGCCAGCGGACTGGCAGACGGGGTTTCGGTCCCGTATGCCTTCAAGTAAAGCTCCCGTGGCAAGTCAGCTGGGCTGGCGGGGTAGAGCAGGAGCTTGGAGTACTCGCCTTGCTTTGCAAAAGCTTTCACCATCGTCTTGAAGTCTTGCAAGCAGCTGTAGGCCTGCTGCGCATTGATGCTGAGGGTGTTGATACCCCCATCACCATTGTAGTTTGCGACAAACAGCACCACAAGAGCATACTTGCTCGTTCTTTCCGAAGGACACGTCAGGCCGATGCTCACGTATCGGCGGGCAAGGAGCCGAAGCTTGTCATCCCAAGACCGCTTCGGGTTACGAAGCTGCTCCCACTCCGTCTCAAGCAGGTAATTCTCCAGATGCCTGCACTTCTGGAGCTTCTTCGTGTTCTTCTCGGCCTTGGCAGCAACTTCCTCAGCAGCCTCGCCGGCAGCGTCGGCCGAAACTTTGCTTTGCAGCGCCTCCACCAGAAGTTCCTTCAGGTTTTGGCGCAAGCCGCTCTGCGTGATCTGCGCCAGCAGTTTGCTGGCTTGCGCAAAGCACATGTCCGGAGCGGACAGCAAATCTCTGATTACACCATCCACCATCTTTCGAAGATTATCCTCATTCTTCCCAATGCCGCTCTTTTCGAGGGCTCCTAGGAATTCCAAGGCTTCTTCCAGCCGCTTCTGAGACATGCTGCAGCTAGGCGGCTTGGGGACAAAGCAGGGCAAGGCCTCTGCACCAAAAACTGCGAGCCGGCGTTGCGGCGTTGCAGCCAATAAATCAGAGCAATATACCCAAATGCATGCACACACGACAGCTATACATCACTTGCACGGAGGAAGCCTGAAGAGTTTTCACGTGCACGGTCACACTGCAGTCGCTGAGTTCAAAAACCAGGTTGTTTTAAAAAAGCGGGCAAGCCTCGCCGTGGCAGGACATTGCCTTGCGAGTCCGCGCCGTGGCCTTGAGGCTGCGGAACCCTCAGGAACTGCTGCTACTGCTGCAGCAGCGCTTAGCCGGCTTCTTCTTCACTGGCCCAGCAGCCACGGCCGATGCAGGCCTCTTCTTCACAGTTGCCGACTGCTCGGCGGCCGACGACTGTCCATCGCTCGCAGCCACCGCCTTGCTGATCTGCGCCTCAAAGCGGCTCGCCGCCGCTGATCCCTGCCAAGGGTGCACATATTCTAAACCCTCGTCCAAAAAAGTGACCAAGAGTTCTCTATAATGTGCCAGCTTGCCTCTTGCCAGGGCCTGCACGGGCCGTCGTGCAACAACTCCTGCTTCTCCGACATGGCTCTCAGGAGCGGCCCCAAAACGGCCATCATGAGAGGAACCTTATATAGACTTCCGATCAACATAGAAAAAACCACTGTATACACACATCAAGATCATGTATATATGAGACAAGACACCGGGTAGGCGTTTCCGGACGCCTTCGTCCTCAGAGCGTCGCTCTCCCCCTGCAGGGTGTTCGGCGGGAAGCCTTGCAGAGCCATCCGCTCCTCGCACCGCAAGAAGCGCCAGAAGGCACGCTGCTGCGGCCCCATGTGCAGGTCGTCCATGGAGGCGACGAAGAGGCGGGTGTTGGCCGTCGTCAGGGTCGGCGCCACATCAAAGAAAAACTTCCGAGGGTACGTCATGCCCTCCGACCGGTCAAGCGGCCAACACACCACAGAAGCGGTGCTGCCCTCAGCGGCCAGCTTCCGCAGCGCCCGCCAAGCATCGGCCAGATTCTTCTTCAAGCTGGCCGTCAGCTTGGAGACGTCCACGGGGGGCAGCCCGGGTGCCAAGAACTCCCGAAGAGTTCTCCGGCCGAAAGGCCCCAGCGGCTGTGGCACGCCGCCGTAGCCTGAGCGGATGCCGACGAGAAAGACTCTCGTCCTCTGCTGTGGCAAGCCATAGTCCACCGCGCTGAGGCAGTGAAAGCCCCAACTGAACTGGGCAACCTCCGCACGCAGGACCCGCAGGAGCACCTGCAGGGAATCTATACAGAAAACCCCATGGAACTCGCACCTGTGGGACAAGCCCTGCATGATGCATGTCCACGCTGCAGGGAACAATGCCTCCGCATGTGCATGCATGGGCATGGCCTCATGCATGATGAAACCGCATCCTTCCGCGCCTGCATGAAAGGCTCATGCTGCCCAGGCAGCTTCTGCGAGATGCCCACGACATTCTCGATCACCATGGCGGAGAGCTCGCCCACCATGATCAACATCACCGCGAGCTTGATCACGGCAATGACTCCTTGCGTCCAGCGTGGACTGTCGCTTGCCTTGCAGACTCCACGGCGGGCAGGGTGGCCCGCTCACCAGCACGTCCACGGGCCGCTGGACCTTGTCCATGGAGCGGGCAAGGGCAGTGATGTCTCCTGCCTTGCCCGCATGGACAAGCGTATCTGCAGGGAGGTGGTCCTGCAGATAGCGCTCGTACCTGCCCTCGACATCATGCACCATGGAGAAGCGTGCATCCGTGATGCCGAGGACTTGCAAAGCGTGGCCGCAGCCATCGATGCCCGTGCAGGGCACCGCCACGTTCAGCGGCCGAGTGAAGACCGGCGCTTGCCAGCCCTCTGGCAGCTCACATGTGAGCTCGCTTTTGGGCAGCTGCTCGCCTTCGGGCAGCTCCACTCCAGCATCTGCTGCCGGTTTCTTTGCCGGAGCCTTGGCAGCTGGCTTCTTTGCCGGCCTGGCCGACATGCCTGCAGGGGACAAGCCTCCTGCTGCTGTGCTCTTGAACCAACGCCGCGGATTTACAGCCTGTGTCATGCTCATGGCAAACTGAATTTATGCATGGGGCTGGGACAGATTGCAAGGGCATATATAGGTCCCGTTGCAGAACACTTCTTTTAAACCCTCTTCTCCCCGGGGGTTTTCTGTGCACGGCGCTGTTGGCCAGTTTAGCTCGTGCAGGGCAAGCCTCTGCAAGGCTCAGTCCTTGTAGTCGCAGCGGCAGTCGGCGGAGATACACTCCAGGGCCTTTCGATCTTTTTCTCCCAGCATCGGGGAGATGTAGCATCTGTAGCAGGACAAGCAGGCACAGTGCCCCGATCCTTGCTCCAACCACCACATCTCGTTCGCCAAAAAAAAGGCGAAGCTCTGGCTCAGGGGCATTGCCGTCGGGCCTGCAAGCCTCATCCTGCAGGCGGACCAAGGCGTGTAGGTCTTCTGGCCGAAGCTTTAGGTCCTCCACGGCCTTGAGGGCTGCCTTCACGTGCCTTTCCGGCACGTCCTGCAGCACGTCCTGCACCTCCTGCGCAGCCATGGCGAAGGAGGCAAGCCTTCCTCTCGCAGAAAGCTTTCTCACTTGAGCCTTCTGCAGCTCAGGAGTGCAAGTTTGAAACCTGCTGAAAACTTGCAGAAACAATATCGCCTGCGGCACTCTTATCACTTGCAGCACTCTTATATATTTTTTGGCACCTGCAGGCTGCGTTTTTTGTGGCCCTTGTGCTATTTCCGGACCTTGGTCCTATTCCGCATGTGCAAGGGCCTTGCAGAGGATCTAGAACCTATAGAATTGTTCAGCATGGCTGGGGTATAGAAATCCCAGCAAAAGCCTCGCACATGCACCGGCGGCAGGCGAAGCCTTGCCTATTCAGGCCTAGACCTTTAAAGCCCCTAGGCCTTCAAGCTCTGCCACCAACCACACCTTGTCGGTCAAGAGGTGGACTTCTACCAGCACTTCCTGCAGGATGGCGACGTCCTTGAGCAAGCGGCCGAGCTCCACGGAGGCTTGCAGCGGCATGCCGAGCCGCTTCTCTTCCAGGAAGGCGAGAACTGCCTCCACAGCTCGCCCGGCCTTTTCCTGCACCTTGGCTTGTCCTATATACAAGCCAATGAGCTCCTTCAGGAAGACCAGCAGGGGATTTCCGATTTCTTTGAAAATCGAATGTCCCTGTGAGATTCGCTGATGGTACTTGTCGTGCCAACAGTCGAACCCATCCTCCGTCATCTGCTCCAGTGCATCGGCCGCATGCCAGCGAAGCAAGGCCTGCTGTTGCGGGCCAAGCCTCGCCGCCAGCCACTTGGCCCTCAAAAGAGGGAGCTCAAGTGCTGCATTGAGGACCGACGGGTCCCCTTTGCAGCACTTACATGGCAAGTCGGGAGTGCTGCTTGCCCACAAACTTGGCTCCCACTGCTTCTTGGTCCGCAGGTGCCCGCAGTAGTTGCACAGCATTGCTGCGGCCACACAGAAAAAGCCTGAGAGGCAGCTGAAGGGTCAAGCCTCTACAGCACTATTTAAAAGTGCATGCGACGGCGTAAGGTACACTTCTCGATTTGTGCGTGTCATGCTTGCGCAGGGGCCATCCTTGTTTTAGGGCTGAAGGCTTCTCAGGGGGCCTCACAGGCTGCAGCTGAAGGGTCAAGCCTCTACAGCACTCTATACATGCATGAGCAAAAGTGCATGCGGCGGCGTATATATACTTGGTACACTTCTCGATCTGTGCGTGTCATGCTTGCGCAGGGGCCATCCTTTCTTAATTTTGGGGTTGAAGGCTTCGGGGGGTTATATATGCAAGGTCTACAAAACTAACAGAAGGGTTTGGGTTTTCAGGCTTA